GTCGCGGCCGTAACGCGCTGCACACCCTCACCAACGCCTTCGCGGAGACTCTCAGGTCTCCCGGAGGCGGGGGCGGCGGTCTCAGAAGCCAGAGTGCGTTGCTCACTCCAAGCTGGCTTTCACCCTGAGGAGGCTGGGCGCTGCCGTCTGGCTGGGACTGTGCGGTAGTGGTTGCTTCTCGAGGCAGCTAGGGAACTGGTTTTCTAAAACAAAAAGAAGAATGGGGAGAAGGAGGAGGAATGGGGAACAAGGACTTTTGGGGGGAAACACTGAAGAGCAACACTGGAGCAGGGCTCTTCCCTGGGCTTCCGCCTCCTTTCTGAAGAGTTGTACACTGGTAGTCTCAAAGATCCCACTGGACGGAGGGAACCCATCAAGCGACGGAGAACTGCTCCTCCAAAATACAGGCTTTCAAAATCCTCCGGATGAGGGACTGTTAAAAGCAAGTTGGGATGATCCTGCTTCGTCTTCCACCCTGAGCGCTTCGTCCTGTTTTTCAGTGTTAACATTTGGTCACCACAGTGCCAAGTGACTTCCTACAGTCCCAAACTGCCCCTACAAACTTGGGCCTGTTGCTATCACATTAATGCTTCAAATGCACAACAATCTTGAAAGAAAGTTTAAGGAAGCGACTTAGGATGCGCCATTTCCCTGCCTACTGACCATCTCAGACCAACTCGTTTTCTTCATAACCTATCCTTGCTCCCTAAGAAAGTATAAATTCTGCCCTGGTTGGGATACAGTGGAGAATCTCCGAAAGTCCTCAGTGAACAAAGACCCCCACTGTGTCTTTCCCAAATGGTCTGGTCAACTGTGGATTCATTTGAAGGTGCTGTCTTATTAGTAGGTGTTTTTCCCTTTTCTCTTTCTTTCCTTTTTGGCCAGCCTCAGCTCCTGGGTCATTTTTATTTCCCTCAAGTTTTTTCTTCCTTTGCCATTATCTCTGCTTTCACCCTCCTGAGATGGGAGAGAGAGGGTTAAGATGTTCTGCAAATGCAGCTAGGCTTGTAAAGCTGCTTGGATACATTAGAAACACATGAATATCCTAAAATACAAAGTGTCTTTAAAACCAAGGGAGGAATGTTTATCCTAATGCTGGATGGATACAGAGAAATAGTGCCAGGGACCAGTGCTGACAGCCTCCTCCAAGTTAAAGTGAGAGCAGGTAAATTTCATTTGCTAGTGAAAATCAAATTCGATTAAAACCTGGTTTCCTTTTGTCCTTTTCTCATCTAACCCTGGGTCCCAGAATTCCACAGCTCAGGCTGGCAGAATCCCTCACTCAGAAAAATCCAGCCAATGTTTCTTTTTTCGGGGGAAGGTTCCAGGGCAGCAAAAGCCCAGAAGGGCACGCAAGCGTATTTTAGATAAAACGTCATGCCTGCCAAGGGTCTGATGAGTTCCTGAAACAAAGACCAAGTGACTGGGCATTTGCAGCTATCATCCTCTGAAGTTATCCATGTTGCCCATTCAGAACTCTTCCAGGGAAAATCTGGGAGCAGCAGGCAGACCCCACCTCCACCCTGTAGCCCACAGCCCTCCATGGGTGTGCTAGCCTTCCCAGTCGAGAATATAAAACGTTCAGGGATAAAATTATCATTGCCAGGATTCAAGTTGATAACACCTCTCTACAACCCCATAGGAATTCCTGAGACCAGTGGACAAAAAGCAGAGAAATGGCACAGAGGGTCAGGCCCAACTGGGTGGAAAGACAACTGAGTCTTGACTTAGCTATTGGGGAAAGAGGAAGAATGCTGGGAGAACCAGTGTTTGCTTCTCAGAGCACACTCCAATTCTTCACTGTCCTGGATCTTTCTTTTTCCACAGCAAGATGGTCTATGGCTGCCTGGGGGTAGGGGTGGGGGATTAAGTGTCCAAGAAATGGCACTGGGAACCACTAAGAAATTTCTTATTTCCTTCAGCAAAAGCCAAGAGAGCAGAAAGAGATTTTCTTGATTGAAAGTGGGTAAAAACTCTAGAAACAGTTTCAAAAATATTAACAGAGCTCACTCAAATCCCATAAGCTATCTCTACTAGTTGGTGGTTACAATTCAATATTTAATCTACAGTTTTTAACAACAGTGAAGGCATGCTAGGACAGCGTTGACTTGCCTGAAAAATGATTTTGCATATACTGAAGATTCAAGACCAGGAAGGAACAAGTAGAATGCCTCCCTCATAAGTAATCATGTGCTAAGAGTTTCTAAATACTGATAAGGATATATGGGAAAATAAGAAATTCCCAGTTAATCTGATCACTAAGGACCAACCATCACACTCAGAATAATTCAGGCCTCAAGCCCTTCTTTGGAGGAGTCGCCAAGTTTCGGCAGCAAACCCTGTCTGGAGATGCAACCCAAAGCCATCCCCCAGCGCCGCCGTCTTTCCCAGACAAACCTGCTTATGTCTCCTTAGTGGACAAGATGAAATCTTATCTCACCATTTTTGGTGAGGTGGGACCCAGTCAACTTTGGCAGTCTGTGGAGCTGGAGCCCTTCCTCTGCGTGCAGGGCTCCGATCTCCGTGAAGTGGAAAGAGGACGGGAGGAATGTGGAATTGGCCTTGGCCGCCGTGTGCACCAGCAGCTGCGCCATGGGCAGAGGTGAGCTGGCACAGGAGCTGCTGGTAGGGGCTCCCCAAGCTGTGATTTCGTTTTTCTGGGTCTGGATGGAAAAGAGAGGAGTCTGAAAGCCTGGGCCAAGAGCAGGGCGGAGGCAGAGAAGAGTCTGCAAACACCGCCCCAAAAACTCCATGAACGCAGCAAAAAATGTAGAGGAATCGAATGGAGTCAGAAACAGGAATTCCAAAGGAGAGAGTGAAGGGAGGTGGGCGGTGGGTCTTTCGCAGCTGCCTGAGTCTTTGGGGCTTGCCGGGTAGTTCTCACGCTGGCTAGACTGCAGCTTTCAACTTGACCTTGGCCTCCAGCCGTGTCTGACCCGTATGTAAAACAGCACTCAAGTCCTCAGGAACTGAGGCCTCGAACCCAACCTTGTCTCTTTGTCACCGTGAGTTTTACAATGCCACTTGGAGGAAGGAAGGGGGGCAAATGGGCCGGAAAGTAACACAAAAATCACATCCCTACAGAGGCCAGTTCCTTAGCCTGCAAACGGCTAGAGGGAGGAGGTAAACTGGGGGCAAATCAATATTTACTTGAGCTACCATAAAGGCAAAAAAGAAAGGGTACACTGGGCATGTGTATGGTATGGTGATGGTAGTGGGGGGGGGAGGGGGGTCATAGGCGGTTTTATTGGGCAACACTTATATCGGTCAGAGCAAACCTCAATCAAAATAGGGAGTCCAGCATGTTGGTCCGGACCCTGCAGGACCTTGCAGGAAGGGACAGTGGGTAGAGAGCAGGCGTATTTAACATTGCCCTGGGCTTAGGACAGAGTCTGCAAATTGAGACTGGAGGGCAGGTCCAAGCTTGGCTGCTTACCAGCCCTCTTGGGGTGGAAGTATCCACAGTTTTCCCCAACCCGGATGTTACTATGGAATGCACCCACTTTCACTTTGTATAGTCCCGTGTGGCATTAGATCAGCTATTAGCCTCCACCATGAGAAATGGAAATGATTGGCTCCAAAGCAACAGGACCCCCACAAACCCTTACCAAATTATGGTGATTGTTTAACTTGTCCAGCCTAAACACCTCACAGTCACATTTCCCCAACTCAGAGAAAAGATTTCTCGGCTGGTTCTTGGATGGAGGAGGACCGGGCACCCTCTGCAGGCTGGAGACAGTGCTCTCCCCAATCCTATTTGGGGAAAGGCATGACAGAGCCCTAAAGAGCCCCGTTTTCCTATCCCGAAATGCAATGAAACAGGGCACTTTGCCCAGGTGCCTGGAGTCGGCGCCCACCCAGGCTTGACGAAGACTTCTTAGGCCCCAGAAGGGGCAGTCAAGTCTCAGCCAACACCCAGCTGGGGCTTGTTCCTCTTAAACTCCTTTCAGGACAAGACAGGATAGGACAGTCCTTTGGATATATGGGAGCACAGGCAAAAGCCACATACAGATAGTTCTGTCTGTCTCAAAGTCTGGAGGGGAAGAGTCGTGCCTGTAGCAAAGTGAGGATCAATCTGTATGCATGAGTGTGTGATCACGGTACATTTGAATGTGACTGTGTGCGGGTGTGATGGGTCTTTTTGAGCCTGTTAGCCTAAGTGTGAGTAAATGAAATTGTCCAACAACACCGTGTAGACAGGGAAGGGGAAGGAGCTCTTAAAAACAGTCCAAGCTTTCCAGTGGAATGTCCTGGGATTCACGAGCCAGGCTTATCCGCACGAACAGACAGGCAGCAAATGCCCCGCCACTACTCCCCTGGAGATAGAGCCAAATCCTGACGCTGTCGAAGCCGAACGTGCTGGTGTCGGTGCTGGTGTCTCTCTGCAGAAAGGCATACAGATACCTGGAAAGAAAACAGGGCCGGAGGCCCCAAGAACCACCCAGCCTAAACTACGCCCCGTTCTCCTTCTGCTCCCATTCTCCGGCAACAGCAGATCTACCTGACCTGTCCCTATTGCCTCAGGTCCCAACCCAATCCTGGACCCAGTCTCCTCCCCAACTCCTTTCCTTGCTCTGGGCCCCACTGGGATAGGGGTAGGGAGGGAGAGCTGCAAGGAGACCACCGCTCCCTCCCCACGCCACTGCACCCCGCCCCACCCGCCCGATCAGCAGCTAGGCGTCCCCACCCAGCCGCGTCCCCCGCCTCTCCGCTGGGTGAATGGTGCACGACCGGGCAGCGGGCGCTGGCGCTGGGCAGCCAGGGTAGCCGCGGGGACCGCGGGTGCACAGCGTAAAGCCGGGGTTGGAGCCGCTTGCTTTGCATACGCCGTGGGCGGAGCGGGGAAGGGGGGGCCGGGCCAATGGGCGCCCGCCTGGCGCGACCCCGCGGGGCGCGATCCGCCCCCCTCGCTCGGGCCCCGGCCCCGCGCCGCACGCTCTTCACTTCTTGGGGGCTTTTTAAAACAGCGCCACTGGGGTCTTCTCCATGCGGCTCGGGCTATGACAGCCTCCGTGCTCCTCCACCCCCGCTGGATCGAGCCCACCGTCATGTTTCTCTACGACAACGGCGGCGGCCTGGTGGCCGACGAACTCAACAAGAACATGGAAGGGGCGGCGGCGGCGGCAGCCGCAGCGGCAGCGGCGGCAGCAGCCGGGGCCGCGCTGGTGCCCTCCGGAGGAGGCTGTCGGCTCAGGG